AAAAAATTCGGACTGGGAAAAGGGAAAGGACTCCTGATTCGTCCTCCTGCAGATCCGGTGAGGGAGAATACTGCGGAACGGGAGGGGAAGGACACATAATAGAAATGTTACCGGTTCTAAACGTCGTGGGGAACGCACTGGTGCTTTTGTACCCCCACGTACGATGATTGAGGAGGAGACAGAGACAGAGGCCGAGTAGGAGATGGATGCATATATGCATCCGCAGGAGTACGAGTACGATCCACAACTACGCTTTCAGCAGAAGTATCAGTTTCCGGTGCCGGATTTTCCATCCGATGACGATTACGAGGATGTTCCGACTCCGACTCCGCCTCCTGTCCCGATGGGTGGTACTTTCGGTGGTTCTAATCCTGTCTCGAGGTCCCGCACCGCTCCGAGAAAAAAACTTCCTTCTCGACCTTGGATGTTGACCGGTGAGACACCTGGTGGACCTAAATACGCTCACTTGATTCCAAGTTTTGGAGCACATATTGCCTACGACATTTGGGAGGGAAAGGTAATACTTATTAATATTAATAAATTTTTTTTATAATATTTACACTTGCTTGTGGTATACTTATATATGAATATATCTTGAACAGGGTCGACATATGGTTAAATTACGGTCGCACGCGAAGTGTACTTGGCCGGGCCCCGACGACGATGATTGTGTCTCACTATTGGAGAGTACCGGCTTGTATCACTTGCGTGATTGTTCGCTGCCTCAGCACAATAACCCACTCATAGAGGCTTTTATTGAGAGGTGGCAGCCGGACACCAACAGTTTTCACATGCCATTCGGTGAGATGACAATTACCCTGCACGACGTGCATTACATCATGGGTTTGCGAGTTAGTGGAACTCGCCCTAACGTTTGGATGGATAAGGCCGACGCGATCCAGCTTGGTGCGAGAGCTTTCGGGGTCGCACCCGAACTTATGGAGCAGTGGTGGTATGGTGGCGGACCCCGGTTAGATGATTTGGAGGTGAAGTATGGCGACAATTCTACATTTCCTTCCGCGTATCGGGTACGAGCATATATCGCATACTCCGCTCCCGAAAGTTGTTGTTCGTGGATAAGAGTGGATCGAAGGTCAGAGCAGATTTTTTCCCACTGTTAGAGGAAATCAATCTCATTTGCGAGTATTCTTGGGGTTCGGCTACATTGGCCTATCGGTACCGACAGTTGGGCATGGCTACGCGAGCTGAGGCGGTGCAGATTGCTGGATGTCTGACACTATTAGAGGTATTATTATTATTATTATTATTATTATTATTATTATTATTATTATTATTATTATTATTATTATTATTATTATTATTATTATTATTATTATTATTATAATTATATTATTATTATATATTATATATTATATATATATAATATATAATATATATATAGTATATAT